TTCTTGGTGAACTCATCTAATTCCCTCAATTTCTAAAGTATCACCTTTATGAAAAATGACTCCTAAGTATACGTACAGAATGATCTGAGAGTGAGTCTTGAGAAATGTTAAGGACAACAGTGTTGAGGGAAAAGGGATGATCAAAGAAGGTATAAGACAGTTCTTCTGGGAAAATGGAATGATGATAATTTTTGTGAGAGAAAAGGGAGACCAACTCAATCCTTTTGTTTCTTTTCTTTGAAAAGAAAAGCAATCTTGCCAACAAAACTGGTTAATTAGGAGCCCAGGTCAGACCATATCTGTGCTCATACCACATATTGTGTTGACGTCAAAGGACTACATTTTAGGAATCAAACAAAATATATTTATCAAGTACCTACTGTGTACCAGGCACTGTTACATGCTAGAAATAAAAAGACAAAAATGAAACAGTCCCTGCTCTTAAGGAACTCACATTCTATAGTGGGAGATTTCATGTACATGCAAAATAAATACAAGGTAATACAAGCATAATTCAGAGATACTACAGGTTCCATTCGATACCACTGCAAAAAAAAAAAAAAGTGAATACTGCACTTAAGTGAGGCACACAAATTTTTTGGTTTCCCAGTGCATGTAAAAGTTATGTTTACACTATACTATAGTCTATTAAGTGGGCAATAGTATTATATCTAAAAAAATGAATATGCCTTGATTAAAAACACTTTATTGATAGAAAAAAAATACTATTATCTGAGCCTTCAACGAGTTATAATCTTTTTGCTGGTGAAGAGTCTTGCCTCGATGTTGATGACTGCTGAATGACCAGGGTAATGGTCACTGATGACTGTGGCAATTTCTTAAAATAAGACAACAATGCAGTTTACCACATCGATTGACTCTTCCTTTCACTTGAACATGTAGAGGTCATTGTAGGGTTATTAACTGACCTAATTTCAACATTGTTGTATCTTAGGAAATAGGAGACCCAAGAAGAGGTAGGAAAGGGAGGACAGTACAGCAGTCAGAAAACACATTTATTGGTTAAATCTTTCTCTCGGTGGTACATGGCACCTACATAAAAACTGATCAAATATTAGGACATAAAAATCTCACAATCCAATGCATAAAGGCAGAAATATTAAATGCACCCTTTTCATATCATGATGCAATAACAATTACATGTGACAAAGGGCCATGGAAAGGTAGAGTAAAAATTAATTGGAAACTAAATAATCTAATCTGAAAGAATGAATGGGTCAAACAACAAGTCATAGAAACAATAAATAACTTCATATGAGAGACTGACAATAATGAGACAACATGCCAAAACTTATGGGATGCAGCCAAATGATTCCTATATCTTTATATCTCTCAATGCTTACATGAATAAAATAGAAAAAGAGGAGATCAATGAATTGACCATACAACTAAAAAAGCTAGAAAAAGAACAATTTAAAAATCCCCAATTAAATACTAAATTAGAAATTCTGAAAATCAAAGGAGAAATTAATAAAACTGAAATTAAGAAAACTATTAAGCTAATAAATAAAAATGAGAGCTGGTCTCACAAAAAAAATCACTAAATTTGGCTAATTTGATTTCTTTTAAAAAAGAAGAAAACCAAATTAGCAGTATCAGAAATGAAAAGGGTGAATTCACCACCAATGAAGAGAAAATTAAAACAATAATCAGGAGCTATTTTGCCCAACTGTATGCCAATAAATCTGACAGTCCAAGTGAAATGGATGAATATTTACAAAAATATAAATTGCCCAGATTAACAGAAGAGGAAATACAATGCTTAAATAACCCCATTTCAGAAAAAGAAATTGAACAAATCATCCATGAACTCCCTAAGAAAAAAATCTCCAGGGCCAGATGGATTTACAAATGGAATTCTACCAAATATTTAAAGAATGACTAATCCCAATACTATATAAAATATTTGGAAAAGTAGGTGAAGAAGGAGTCCTACCAAATTCTTTTTATGATACAAATATGGTGCTGATACCTAAAATGAGAAGAGCTAAAAGAAAGAATAGTATTTCCCTAATGAATATAGATGTAAAAATTTTAAATAAAATATTAGCCAAGAGATTACAGAAACTTATTGCAAGGATAATACACCATTACCAGGTGGAATTTATACCAGGAATGCAGGGCTCATTCAATATTAGGAAAACTATCAGCATAAATGACCATATCAATAACAAAATTAACAGAAATCATATGATTATCTCAATAGATGCAGAAAAAGCTTTTGACAAAATACAGCACCCATTCCTATTAAAAATACTGGAAGGCATAGGAATCAATGGAATTTTCCTTAAAATGCTAAGTAGCATCTATCTAAAACCTTCAGCAAGCATTATATGTAATCCAGTAAGATCAGGGGTAAAACAAGGATGTCCATTATCTCTGTTGTTATTCAATATGGTACTAGAAACATTAACAATAAGAGAAGACAAAGAAATTGAAGGAATTAGAATAGACAATAAGGAAACAAAACTATCACTCTTTGCTGATGATATAGTGGTATATTAGAGAATCATCTAAAAAACAACTTGAAATAATTAACAACTTTAGCAAAGTTGCAGGAGAGAAAATAAACCCACATAAATCATTGCTGTTTCCATATATTACCAACATAGCCCAGGAGTGAGAGAGAGAAACAGAAATTCCATTTAAAGTAACTTAGACAATATATAATATTTGGGACTCTACCTGCCAAGACAAACACAGAAACCATATGAACACAATTACAAAACACTTCTCACACAAATAAAGTCAGATCTAAATAATTGGAAAAATATCAGTTGCTCATGGGTAGGTCAAGCTAATATAATAAAAATGACAATCCTACCTAAATTAATTTACTTCTTCAATGCTATACCAAACTACCAAAAAATTATTTTATAGAGCTAGAAAAAAATAATAACAAAATTCATCTGGAAGAACCAAAGGTCTAGAATATCAAGGGACTTAATGAAAAGAAATGCAAGAGGAGGTGGCCTAGCCCTACCAGATGTAAAACTGTATTACAAAGCAGTTATCATCAAAACTACTTGGTACAGGCTAAGAAATAAAGTGGTGGATCAGTGGAATAGGTCAGGTACACGAGACCCAGTAGTCAATGACTACAGTAATCTACTGTTTGATAAACCCAAAGACTCTAGCTTCTGGGATAAGAACACGGTATTTGACAAAACCTGCTGGGAAAACCAGAAAAATAGTATGGCAGAAACTAGGCATAGACCAACATCTTACACTGTATCCCAAGATAAGGTCAAAATGGGTACATGATTTAGACATAAAGGGTGATACTATAAGCAAATTAGGAGAGCAAGGAATAGTTTACCTGTCAGATCTATGGAGAGCAGAAGAATTTATGACCAAACCAGAGATAGAAAACATTATGAAATTCAAAATAAATAATTATTATTACAGTAAATTAAAAAGGTTTTGCACAAAGTCAATTTACCCAAGATTAGAAGTGAAGCAGAAAATTGGAAAGCAATTTTTACAGCCAGTGTCTCTGATAAAAAGCCTTATTTCTAAAATATATAGAGAATTGAGTCAAATTTACAAGGATACAAGTCATTCCCCAATTGATAAATGGTCAAAGGATATGATACTAGAGTTTTCAGATGAAGAAATTAAAGCTATCTATAGTCATATGAAAAATGTTCTAAATCACCATTGATTAGAGAAATGCAAATCAAAACAACTCTGAGGCACCACATCACACCTATCAGATTGGATAACATGACAAAACAGGAAATTGATAAATGTTGGAGATATGGGAAAATTGGAACACTAATGCATTGTTGGTGGAGCTGTGAACTGATTCAACCATTCTGGAGAGCAATTTGGAACTATGCCCAAAGGACTATAAAACTGTGCATACCCTTTGACCCAGCAATATCACTTCTAGGTCTGTATCCCAAAGAGATCATAACAAAGGGGAAAATGTACAAAAATATTTATAGCAGCTCTTTTTTGTGGTGGCCAAGAATTGGAAGTTGAGGGGATGCTCATCAATTGAGGAATAGCTGAAGAAGTTGTGATACATGAATGTAATGGAATTCTATTGTTCCATAAGAAATGATGAGTAGGTAGATTTCAGAAAAACCTGGAAAGACTTACATGAACTGATACTGAGTGAAGTGAACAGAACGAGAACATTGTACATAGTAACAGCACATTATTTGATGACCGACTTTTGATAGACTTAGCTTTTCTCAGTAATGCAATGATCTAAGACAACTGCAAAAGACTAAAGATGGAAAATGCTAACCACATCCAGAGAAAGAACATGGAGTCTGAATACAGATTGAAGCATACTATTTTCTTTTTTTTTCTTTCTCATGGTTTTTCCCTTTTGTTCTGATTCTTCTTTCACAACATCATTAATGTGGAAATATGTTTAATATGGTTGTAATAATAGCCTATATCAGATTGCATGCAGTCTTGGGGTGGGGGGAGGAGACAGAGGGGAAAAAAATTTAGAACTCAAAATCTTATAAAAGTTAATGTTGAAAACTGAAAATAAATAAGTAAATAAAGTTTTAAAATTTTAAAAAGCTGCCTATTTATGACCTTTGGCCATTTATCAACTTGGAAATGACTCATTTTTTTTTTTATAAATTTGGTTCAGTTCCATATACATATGAGAGATGAGGCCTTTATCAGAAAATTTGCTGTAAAAATTTTTCACCGTTTTGGTTTTTTCAACACCTCTTAATTCTAGTGCTTCCTTGCTGTAAATTATTTCTGATTTATCCTATATATAGCTTTTGTCTGGTGTTTCAGACCACTGGCCCTGCTTCCATAGCTATCATTTGGGGGAACAATCCCTGTTTACTAGAGGTCAGCCATACTTACCAACTGTCAACCACTCAACACCTACAAAATAGGCAAGCCAGCCTAGCTAAAACAACAGAGCATATACCAAGAGAGAGAGATGGCATGTGTCCAGTGAGTCCAACTAATATCATTATCCCTTTTTCTCATTGTAGAAACGGACAGCCCAGGACCATGGATGCAAAAACCCTGGTTGCAGTAGAACTCCACTGGCCCAGCTTTGAGCCTACTCTTCACCACCATCAGCCAAAAATTCAGCCCTTGTGGAGACTTGACCTAGCAACTGCTTCTTCAAGTCTACTAACTCCAACCCCCTCAAAAGACACAATTGTTTAGAGACCTGGTAAAGAAAAGTTTGGCCATCAAAATCCTTAGCACTGTCAAATGGTTCAACGTCAAAAAATAAATATGGCTTTATCAGTGGAAATATGGCATTCAAGATGCAGCATTACCACCCACTTTGATTATCTGCCCTATGGACTATGATATGTATTATTACAGTGATCAAGCCTGACTATGAATGAAAAAGAGAGAAAGACCTCCTCTGCAGAGGTGGGGAGGACTATGGGTAAGAACAACACATTTTATCAGACTGGTGTGTTGGTTATTTTTGCTGAACTGCTTTTTTGCCTTCTCTTTCTTTCCTGCTTTCTTTCTTTTTTTTTTTTTATTATTACAAGGGATGGCTCTCTGTAAAAGGGAAGGGCAAGGGATATATTTGGAATCAAAGATGATGTAAAAACAAAAAAGTAATAAATATTTTTAAAGAAAAGCAAAATAATTGGGGGGAGATATAAATTTAAAATTTTAAATATGAATAGCAAAATTAAATCAAATTAAAAGATTGAGTGTGTACAACTTTATATTCTCACCTTAAAAGCAAAATTAGTTAGTTAAGCTCCTTCTACATCTCTCTGCCATCAGTGACAGAATTTGTGCCTAGTAGTTCCAAGATCTCAAACCACCCATACTCAGTACTTCAGTCAGAGACTCTAGAGTATTGCATGTACAGAAGAGATGGCAAGCAATTGAAGGAAAATGGATCTGTTACCCCTGCCCATCCAAAAAAAATGCAGAGAAACTAACTTGGTGCCCAAGCTCCATTCCAAGAAAAAGCCAGCAGACACACATTTTTCTTTGCCTCTTTCCTTTGCATCTGACCCCAGAGGTGTTTTCGAGAGGCTAAAGTGTGGTGCTCAAGTTCTTCAGAGAAATCTCAGGTGACTTGAAGGGGGTTTTCTTCCCTAGTGGAAAGCTATTTTTATTCTCTCTTCACAAGCAAATACCAGTAACTATCCCCAAGAAATTACCTACTGTCAGTGTTTCTCCCCCCATTATGCTGGGGTGACATCCTGAATCAGATGAAAAGATTCCTGTCGCCTTGTTTGTACATGAGAGGCTCATAAAAAGCAAAAGGAGTCAGTGAAAATAACGACTAGCAGCTATCTACCAACCAGACCCCATTAGTGCAAATCTCCCCAGCTAGCCATAAAGGTTTCGTGGATGGCTGCCATTTCGAAACAACCTACTGTATAATAAACATGCTAGGGGGATGTTATTGATGGTTTTCTCCTGGGGCTCAGAGTGTTCACTGATGTATCACCTTGGATGTGACACACAAGGTTTCAGACCATGATTTCAGGGCTTTGGAAAAAGCATCCTCATCATTTGCTTGAGCCAAAAGCATCAAAGAAAGCTTCCTTTTATTCTACACATAAGCAGGAACTAAGGAAACTAATTACCAAGTGTGGATATGTCTCCTCAGCACCCATTAGCTGAAACAGGCTACCAGGCACCTGCAGCTCATTAAAGCTATGAAGCCATTTTAAAAAAGGAGAAAAATAAATTGTAGAAACCTTAGGGCAAGTCTCATTATTGCCTTTGATTTAGTGTAAATCTGGAGTGGGGATGGGAGGAGATTAATGTTCCGGGGAAGGAAAGGCTCTCTTTCCTTTGCTTGGAGCTTCTTGGGGCATCAAGACTATATTCTCTTCGGTGAAGTGTCACCTGAGGGGTATTTTTATTAGTTCCCCATAATAGTGGAGCTAAACCTGTTTGTTACTGTTCATGGTAAAAGCTGCCTCGGTACTTCATCTCTAAAAGGAGGGGGTGATTGGCATGGGAGTGGGAGAGAAGCAAATTTCTTTACTAGGACAATCCTTGATCAGTCCGTGGAATGGGTAGACTAGTTCAAACATCAAAATAACTCGGGTCCCAGATGTGTGGGGCCAAACCAGAGACATAATATAATTTCCCAGCTGGAATGCCAGTCATACCCGCTCCCTATAATGTTTAAAGCCAATCAGACAAGAGGTAGCTGTTAGGAGCCTGCTTACTCAGTCACTTACGGCAATATCATAATTTTGAATTGATACCTTACTGATGTTGCACCTTTACAGTCATGTCTAACTCTTCCTGACCACAGCACACCAGGCCCTTCTATTCTCCACTATCTCTCAAGGTCTGTCCAAATTCATGTTCATTGTCTCCATGACACTTTCTATCCATCTCATCTTCTGCTGTCCCCTATTCCTTTTGCCTTCACCTTTCCCAATATCAAGGTCTTTTCCAATGGGTCCTGTCCTCTCATTATGTGGCCAAAGTATTTAGGTTACAGCTTCAATATTTGATCTTCCTTTGAAATAGCCTGAATTAATTTACGTATTGACTGATTTGATCTTGCTGACCAAGGGACTCTCAAAAATCTTCTCTGGTACCACAAGTCAAAAGTGTCAATTCTGCAGTGCTCAGCATTCCTTATAGTCCAATTCTCACAGCCATACATTGCTAGTCACTTATGGCAATATCATAATTTTCAATTGACACCTTATTACCTTCTAGCTATTTGGGAAAGCATGATAACATTTTTATAAAACTTGATAAAAATAGTATTTTAAACCATACATTCACCAGAAGCATACAGTAATAAAAAAAATTCACAAAATTATGCACAGAATGAGACATTTTTTAGACATGGCCAACATAAGAATTTATTTTGCTTGACTAGGCATATTTGTTACAAGAGTAGCAAATGTTTTTCTTTTTTCTTTTTCCAATGGGGGGAGGTGAAAAGAAAATAAATGGTTATTAATGGAAAATAAATTAAAAAGACAAATAAAATTAATTTGGTACCTCTAACACCTTTAGCTAGTGTTACCTGATTTGTTTTGGCATCTGTTTTCATTAGGCATTTGCCTGTCCTCTACTGTGCTAACATAGAACAATAGAGCTTTAAAAAGGGCACATAAAAAGGGGCAAAATGACTGGACAAGGGGTGGGGAACCTGTGGCCTTCTAGGTCCTTGGGTGAGGCCTTTTGACTGAGTCCAAGTTTAACATAACAAATCCTTTTATTAAGGGGATTTGTTCTGTGAAGTTTTGATTCAGTCAAAGAGCCTCACTAGAGGACCTAGAGGGCCACAGGTTGCCTTAAGGCCACACATTACCCATCCTTAAACTGGAGTGAGGGGTTGGTTTTCTATTTTTAACAGAGTTGGACCACCTTGGCTCAAAGCTGGCCTGTCCCTTTAGGGGCAGCATACTTTATGACCTTGATGACTGGCATAGAACTTAGAGAGGCTATGGAGACTCTAGTGAGGAAAAGGGTAACTACACACAACCTGATTAGATGCATGGAGAAGGATTCGGACACACATAATATGTCTGCTCAGCCTTTCCAATCTTCAATTTCTTTTCTGGTGATTAGAGCAAAAAACAGCATCCCTTTTTCTCCCTTATTTATCTAGAATACAGAAGAGACTCCAGACACTATCCTCTTCCCCATCTCAGATCACTCCCCAACCCACACTTTCTCCTCCCTTTCTTTCCCTCTTCTCTTTCTCTCCCTCTCCTCTTTAGTGTAGAGCTATAAGGACTTCATGATTAAGGCTGGTTTTGAACTCTTATCTTCTTGGCTTCAAACTCACTGTTCCTCTTAGCTGATCAGTTTTCTTTCCTGACATGGAGTTAATATAGAAGTCATCACCATCACATATACTTTACCTATTCTGTTTGCTAATCTTCCTAAGTTTCCAGCTATCAGATAGTCACCACATAAATAACTACCTTGTCTCAGGGAAAGTGGAAGACAAGCAAAGTTTGTAGTGAAAGAACAGAGGAGAGTCCTTTCTTTCAATTATTTCCACATGCCCATTTTTATCACAGTCAAGGTAAGAGATGCTTTATTTTTGATCTTCAATTACTTCTTTATAAATGTAATTTACAAATGACTTCTTTGCAATGGAAAGAGCACTGATTCTCAAGTCAGAGGACGTGGGTTCAAATCTTGCTATTTGTAGAATCTTGGTAAATAATTTACAACTTCCTGAGCCAAGGTTTCCTTATATATAAAATGAAGGGTTTAAACCAAATGATCTTTAAGGTTTCTTTCAATTCATATATCCTATGATGTGTATCTGGACGGCTGGAAAAGAGGAATGTTTTCTAGAATTTCTGCTCAGGGCTAAAGATCTTTTCAAGATTGTAAATGAAAATAAAACTTTAATTCCCTAGACATCAAATATTCAGGAGCAAGAAGGGCTCCATTAATTAGCTTATATGGGTAATAAGTTCTCATCTCTTTTCATACTGGCAACACTGCTACTCATTAAGTTGGAAAAGCAATAAAGGTAGGAAAGAGAATGAAAGGTATGAAAGAATGCAAAGAAGTTGTCTATGACAGCTTATCATAGGATCGCCTGCATGATACAGTCTCTAGTCCTCTACTCTGAGTGCCACAAACAATGACAAAAGAAAATCCCAAATGCCAAATATATCAAAGAGGGATGGGAACTAGACTTGTGATGTCACTGATGCTGTTATAGCCTGGATGAGGAAATTCCCTCTACCAATGCAAGTTTGCACCTTCTCTGCAAAGTACAGTCTTAGAGAGTTGCCTAAAACAATGGTTGATGTCAAACTCAAGTACAAATGGGGGCCAACAATTGGCAGTGGATAGAATGCCAGGCCTGGAGTCAGGAAGATCTGAGTTTAAATCTAGTCTCAGCTGCTTACTAGCTGTGCGGCCCTGGGCAAGTCACTTAACCTCTGTTTCTCTCAGTTCTTCATCTATAAATTGAGCTGGAGAAGTTAATGTCAAACTACTCCAGTATCTTTGCCAAGAAAATCCCAAATGGGGTCACAAAGAGTCAGACAGGACTGAAATGACTGAACAACAATAATTCATACAAGAAGATCCCTGTAGACTGTATATTGCCTAAGTTTTTAAATGTTATTATCTGTTTTATTGTATTTTATTTATTTGTTAAATAAATATAAAATCTATTATCTGCTTTATTATATTTTAGTTATTTGTTAAATATTTCTTAGTTACATTTTAATCTAGTTTGGGCCACACTGGGGAGTGTCACAGGCTGCATTAGTCAGGTTGGCTGCTGCTTGGTATCTCTAGCTTAGAGAGGTAGAATAGCTTGACTAGTGTTGCACAGCCAATAGATAGAGAACCACAAGGTAGAACTTGAACCCAGGTCTCCTGGCCTCTAAGACTCTCTGTACACTACACCATTGCTAACTCAGGAAAACTCTCATAAGCATAAAAATGAAAATGAAAATTCCCTTTTAATTCAAGCACCACCACTACCCTAGCAATCCCTCAGATGATCTCATCAGCGAGTCATATGAGATTCTAACACCCACCTAGCTG